GATTTCGATCATAAGTTGTTGCAAGACAGTAACATTGTATTTCTCATTTAACTTTCAAGAACGATATTTGATCTGAGTTTTTAGAGGATAATTCAGACAACTTTCTATACATTCAGTTACAGGACACAATGATACATAATAATATTTTTGATCAGCTCTCATACATTATGTATAAAAGTAAGGTATAAAGTTAGAACACAAATTTTTATCCTTTTTGGTATCATTCATTAGCTTACTGAATGAACTTGCCAGTCACGTATTCTTCTCCACATTTATTTCTTTGTCAACAATTGATAGGCCACTACCCATACCCGAACCCTGGAGATATACAGAAAATAAGAGAATGCACTAATGCAAGTTACTCAGATGAATGATTCGAGCGATCGGTTCCTGCCGAAAACTCTCGGGAAATGGTTGGATTTCGAAACAGAAACTCAATGAAGGTATTCAACAATCTATTATATCTTTGTTCTCTTGGAAAATGCCAGAAACTGGTTGCCACATCCGAATATCGTATTTCTGCCTCTAAAACGACCAATACAATATTTTTGACTGCATTAACTACTTGGGAAAGAAAAAGAATCTACTGATTATTTTTTACTGTCAAAAGCCACTTTGTGAAAATGATAGCATTTTCTAAAATGTGGCTAGTACTTCCTTAACAAATAGTGCAAATGTTTCAATTCACTATAGTAAGTGATAAAACCCAATAGAAAATATTCAATATCCAAAACCCATAAGTTTTGGATTAGTTTGAGTGTTGGTACATGTCTAGCAGAAATTTACCATTTTACAAGTCACTTTTTGAACTTCAACAGTTGTATGTAACTCAAAAATGTCTATACTGTCTGTAAGTTTCTAGATGTGCTTTTCATTTGCAGATAATAAGCCTCAAACTGCTTTACGGTAATCTCAGTAATCTTGAGACAGGATTTTTGGGTTCTAATCGAACTTGACGAAATGTTTCGTCAATATTGATTTACGAGATAATCTGCATTGTTGAAAAAACTTGTTGAGCATCACGTAGTTTCTAACGAGACTATTTCATGAAATACTTTGACACAGTTTTAAAATCATATTTGATTTCTGTTTATATGTCCTTATTGGAGTTTTTTTTCCGAATATTTCTTTAATTCCATCGAGTATCAGAGCTGGCGGATGTGGCTGCTTAACTATATTTCGAGTAATGTTCACATAGTGTATTGTTATATCAATTTGTTTAAGTAGATATCTCAGATCAACCGTAGGAATAGCCAATTATTTCATCATGTCCAGAACAAAAAGTAGATATTGACTTGATCTGTGTTCTTTCTGACTCTCTTGTTATCAGCAGAGCACCTGATTTATACTTTCTACGATGTAGTATCGAACCGGATCGATGACTGACTGACATCTGTCCGATCTATCACAAAAAGACTACTTTTTTCTGCACTTCAGAATTTCTAAGTTTTCTTTTGCATACTGGAACATGAAAGCTATGCTTTAATATTTACCACAGCTTATCGCTGCGTCAATGTAATGCTGTTGAATATATCATCATATAGTTTTGCTGCTATCTAAACTTTTAAAATCTGTTTCGCGACACTCTTGTTCGTAACTAAAAAGCACATAAACCTTTTGTTATTGAAGTATATGTTTAAGTATTGCTTTCGACAAGTCAATTGACAATATATTTAATATTCTCCAGATCAACGAAGTAGTTGTCTAATAAATTAATGACTATCTCGTTTCAACATATACTTCTATTCTTCGTGCATTTTGTGCTTTATGTTGATATTATGTTTAGAGTAGTAAGAGAACTTCAATGATCTTTTGTAATTTCATAATCGTGACATTTTTTAATTACAATAGAAATCATTTCTTTGTTCATTGTTTGATTAAAGACTCGAATAATGCTGATTGTTGGATCAAGTGTCTTTTTCATTTTCTCTAGGATTCAAACGGATACCTGAGCATATACTATGAGGACATCTAGTTAGAATGTGTCCTGTATAACTCTTCTTGTACTGACCCATTTTGAGGTGATCCAGCAAAGACAACTATTTGAATGAAGATCTCATTTTCTCTCTCGTTCGCAATCGAATTGGACTCAAATGTGTCCCTGAACTGGAATACGATTTTATAGAATAATGTGAATCATCAATTATGAATTCTGGCCCATCTGTAATATCTGAGTCAGTGCAAATTTTGGACCTATCCATTGAATCTTCGACAATACGAACAGAAAATCCTTCAATTTTGTTGCAGGAAATAGTGATATTAGTACGCGTGTAATCAAAAGAACAAGAATGCTTTACATATGAATTTAAGCATAGTAAAAAGTAACATTGGCAGATGGTCAGTCAAAATAATTTAATAAACCAGTAGATTGAGCTCGATCGAAATGACAAAAGTACTCTTGATGGCTGCCTTAAGAGATGCTACACAGCTCAATTGAGAGATCATGTTGTACAAGATTTTTTTTACCTATCTATATCTACAAATTTTGAAAACTGTATGCTGTTTTTCAGTATTTCTATAATAAAAAAAGGTTAAAACCTATTCTCGTTGACAATAATTGCTTACAGGTTCGATAGATCTTATGAAATTTTTGGAAACCTGTTGATCAAACGACCATATGATTAAAATGTTTTTGCAATGTCAAGCCTATGCCATATAGAACATGCAGAATTCATTTACCATTTAAGTGTGACAGACGATTAAATAAGATATTTATTGTAAATATTAGTTCTTTTATACTCTTGATAGTTTTGCTATAGTCAGTATTCAATACTACGTATATAGTACTTTTTATACTATTAAAAGCGAAATATTATTATAATCTTCATTGTTCCATTTTTTCGTGGAAATCTAGATGGTTTCTAAAGTACGAAAAGTTTTTGTTTTCAAGTGACGATAACACTCGTTTTTTGCGTAGCCCTATCTCTTTTATTGGTAGTTGATTGAATATCAACAAACTGACGCTCTAAATCAATAGCTAGCTGTTCTTAAGAAATATTTCCTCTTCAATATTCTCGTTATTATACTATTGTTCACCAATCGTAAGACTATTATCTTCGAAAATAGTCAGACTTTATGCAATAATGATATATTAGCTTATTTGTTATCATTTATTGCGAAATCTTTCTATCAGTGACAAACTACTTTAGAGTTCTATTTTTTATATAAAATATAGAAGATGGTTAAAATAAATCAACAGAGATATACTCTATGCAAAGTACTAGAGTCGATCCTTCTAATATAACTAAAACTTTAATGCAAAGATAATGTTGATACACAATATGAGATTTTTGGTTGTGACTAGTGATGGGCCGTAAGACGTAAGAAGCGGTATACCTTCATTTTCATTTCGTCGTAAGTCGCGATAGAACAAAAAAAGAATAGTCGTGATATAGACGTATATAGACGTAAAAGAAACGGCAGAACGTAACAGAATTCTTATAAATAGCGCCATAATGAACGTCAGACGTTTCTTACGCGTTATGATGCATATAAGTATGAAAACAAAAGGAAATAAACGATTATACAACATAGATTGAGATGTAATTGGTTTTGAACTTATCGCATAACCAAGAATGACAGTAATTAGATATCTGGTGTATCTTGAGAGTATAACTATATATTTATAATTTCATTAATTTATTTAAACAAGTCCAAATAGTACAACAATAAAAAAGAACAAGAAAAAATATAAATACTCATATAAATATATATCATTTAATAAACAAAACTTTTTATCTGTTTTTATTCAAAAACAACAAAATATTAACATTCTCAGGTGTTAATCTTGAGTACCTATCTGAAGTTAAATGACCTGTTGCTGAGGACATTCTCTCCGAAGGTACACTTGTTCCTGATATACACAAATATTTATAAGCCAATTGTGATAATGTAGGATATTTTGTTTTATTAGTATACCACCATTCAAGAGAATTTTCATTTCGATGTAATTCTCGTTCATTTTCATACATCAACAATTTAGAATCTCGAGTATTAGATGATGTAACGTGTCGATTTGTTATCATCATATCAAATAAATCGAATTCTTTTTCTTTTTCTTCATTCTATTGAGCATTGACTGGTGATACAGCTAAGTTGTTTCGAAGTAAATTATTATATTGTTCTTGTTAATATAAATATGCAAGTTGCTTCGTTTCAAATGTCTGAAGCTTATTTAATAATGATAATGTTTCAACATGATTCTGATAAGATGAACGTTGAAGAAATGTAAAATCTTTCCAACGTGGATCCAATACTGTACATAGTAGCACCTTGAAATTCTCTTATATAATATTTATCTATTTATTTCTCCGCCTACTAATTTATTTTCGTAGATTTCTGTAAATCGTTCCTGAATGCTACCACAAAAGACATCTTTCATTTTTTTTATGAAAGAAGAATCAGTAGATAGATCTTCAAGACTTGTAATTAAAGTTGTAACAACAGGTAAAACAATTGATAATGTTGGTAATGAATCAGATGCAAGTTTTCGTGTAGCTGCTTCACAAGGTTCTAACATCACCTAAAATTCAACAAAAACTTTTTCGCAGCTTACATTTTTATAGTAAAGCATCTAACCATTAATTGTTCCAAAACATCCCATTCTATCACCTTCGACACTTTAGCATTGGAAAAATGTTTTTGAAACAATTTTTCATTTAGACATGCTGTTATACAAATTTTTTCTTCAATAAACCTTTGAAGCATATAGAAAGTACTGTTCCATCGAGTAATAATATCGAAAATCAATTGGCGTTCAATAAAACCTGCAAAGATTCAATGTCGTAACAGTTAAAGATGAAATAAAATTTGGGATTTTGTACCAAATGATCGTTGATATTTATTTAACATTTCATTTGCTAAATGACTATCTCTTGTATACGTAAACAACGTATCGAATTGTCGAAAGCATATTTTTTACTTCATCTTGTTTTCTAATGATATCATTAACAGATAAATTAATGAGATGATCAATACATCCAATCCATCCTATTTATAAATTAATAACTATTACAAGTATCAGATATTAAACAAATAATTTTATCAGCAATTGACCATTTATCACAAATACTTTCTAAACTTTCTACAATACGTTCAGCTGTATGATTTCCCGTAAATTCTTTTGTTTCTAATACAAAATTTTTTATTTTTTTATTCTTTAAATCGATAAAATGTGCTGTAATTGTCATATAAGCTTGATTAGCTTGAGAAGTGCAAATATCAGTTGTTAAACAAATACCTAAAACATTAGAAAAAGACAATCTCTAGATCATCTGAGGTATACAATCTGTTACCAGGTGCTTGTTGTAATTCTTCATAAACTTTCTGTTGAACATCACTATACATTTCTTGTAAAACATTATTAGTAAAATATTTTCGTCGAGGAATTGTATATGATGGTTCAGCTTCTGCAAGAATTGCTTGTAGATGAGGGCTTTCAACTACTGATAAAGGAAGAAAGTTGTAAATGATTAAATCAGCAATTAATTTAGTTAAATGAATGGACCGATCACTTGTTAATGGTAATCTTGTTGTTGAATCAGAAATTTGAGTTTGTGATTTCATAACTTTATTCAAATGTTGATACTCGACATTGTGTTGTATTTGTATGTGATGTAATAAATCGGATGTTGATGTTGATTTACGAGTAATAACACTTGAACATAAAACACATTCAACATTTAACACATCATCTTTCATATCGTTGAAATATCTCCACACTAAACTACGCTTAGCTTTAACAATTCTTCGTGGTGTTATTGATAAAGGTGATGTTGAAGTAGAACATATTGAACTTGTTGGTGGTGATGTTGGTGTTGAATTAATTATTGATGAAGATGCAGAATTAGTATTCATTGATGTTAAACGAGAATTATTTCCATCTGAATTTGACATAATGCAAAAAAATATTGTTTGTATATATGTCTAGAAATAAAGAAGAAAATATTCATAGATTATTATCAGAAAAAGTATTTATCAGTTTTCTAGTTTTAAGAAATATATGAGTTGATTCACTTCAACAGTTCTTTATTTAAATTGCATAGATGAAGACGTAAACTATGGAATCCAATCATTTCTTACCTCACACTACAAGAATTATCCTATGAAATTTTTCATCATGTTTATAGCTCATACGTAATTTTTTTTCTATTCAACGCATAATTATGTACAAAAGCAGAGTGAGAACAGGTGCATCAGCAATATAGAAAGCTATAAAACATTTATTGGTTACTTTTTAAGACAAAAATCGAAGATGAGCGCCACCAGAATCTAACATTTACTTAAAACTGACAATTTTCTTATATTATGTCTGAAAATGACGCATTAAGATATTAACGATAAAAACGAAAGACTATATTTATTACGTTATCGTCGGCGGACGTAATAAATACATATTTCGTTTATAGTCATTCAGTTATAGTCCTATAATACACGACTATTACGGAATAACGCGTTATAACGTCATATCGGCAGGAAGAGAAAAAAAACTCAAGAGAGAATGAAAGAACATAAATGTTATATTCGAGTTTATCTGAAACAATAGACAAAAATGAACGTCAGTAACGTAAGAATTTTTTTCTCTCTTTCTTTCTTACGTATAATGAAATATATCATTTCGCTATGTTCGAAGATGTTTCGGCCCATTACTAGTTGTGACACATTTCTGAATAGTATTCGTAAATAGGTCATATGATGCTTCATCGAGCGTATATTCTAGTTCATGTTATGGCTTTCGGATTCTTTTTTCGAATTTTGTCCTTGGTGAGATTCTATTGTAGTTCAGTAGCATTAAAAAAAAGGCTATCATTCTTTCATTGACATAACTCAGTATTACATGGTTCACTAAAGAATGCAAGTGAAGAAACATAAAATAATCTATTACAAGATGCTATACAAGAATTCATTAAAACAGATTAGAGAAATTTATTAACACTTAATCTTTGTAGTAAACTTTATTCGTATAATAAATATCTATTCTTATACAATTCACATAGATCTACATCAGTTAATTCTAACAATAAACTCTGCATCTTATATTAAATTTAAAATTTGCAAGTAGTAATCATAGTTAATGAAGCGACAGATACACTCTTCGTCAACACAAAGGAATAGTTTTGAGTTAGATTTATTTTGATCATTAGTACCAGAATCTTTGGTCACTAATGACAAAACATTATCCTATAGACTATCTGCAAAAGAATTCATAAGTCAACTTAATTTCAGAGAAGAAACCATGCAAACGTGAGAACTAATCTTCGATGAAACATTTGCATCTCTATGAAGTACACAGTTTGGTATAGAAAAATCTGGTCTATTCTGTTTGATTTTCAAGAAAGAATATAATCACAAAGTGAGAACGAAGAAAAACAGCATAATTATTTATTTTACAACTTTCCTTAGACATTTTCTATGTCAGTGAGAGACGGCTAAAATTAAAAATTCAAACTGTTTTTTATATACTCTTTGTTTTCTGATGATTCAAAAGATGTTTAAAAAGTTTTTTGTATAATTGACTGTTTCTTAGAATATCATCATCATTATTTTTCTCGATAGATCGTTTATTCTAATTCTTTATGACTTTCAAGAAGTTGTCTAATATTTGATGTTAACAATGCTATTGATACATCATTAGATGGATTTACCAATAATGTTGATTAAATAGTTCTTGCGCAAATTCGATTGATTATCACTTCGGATAGATTTTGTCTTAATTGATTCCTTGTGAACAGAAGACCTAACACTACTCGATAGACATGAAAAACTATTTGCTTTAGACTTGAAAGCACATCGGTTGTGTTAGAAATAGAAGGCATGCTGAAAGAAAGAAACATATAAGGCATATTTGCAGTATTCACTAAATCAGTGTTCTTTACGGTTGTTATAATTCAATGAATATTGATAAAAACTTATCGATATATCATCGTTATTGATACTAAAAACATAATCATCTGGAGCAAAAGAGATATGCCCATACACAATGTTCGGTAATATATCGACATTCCTGTCGGTCGATCACGACTATTAATGTCTAATATACTCTAGCCACCATTCTCTTTCTAAAAACTACGTGTAAAATAAAAGATATTTTGCTATGTTTCATTATGACAACATCTTTTTCCGATGTAGAAAGAACATTTGACTATGTATTCAGCAGAGGTACTAATAATAGTAACTCTGACTGATACTAAGAAATACTATTGATCATGATGTCCTAGAAAACTGTTCTCTTTGTTTCTGTAGTTGTTTCGTATATTGCTTCGTGATATTTCTCTTTTTTACTCATGTATATAGATTTATCCTCGCGTTTTTGCAAAAGGGAACAGGCAAGGAGATTTATCAATTAGATTAACATTTTCGTTATTTGCTATTAAACAAAATTTCCGATTGGTTATAATCGTGATTTTGTTGCAGAATAATCGGATTTATTACTTCGATTATGATCGCAGGATTTGGAAATTTTAATCAATTTTGAAACGGTCAAATTTTCCACTTTGAAAACAAGNGGGTTAAATTGTTCCTGAATACTACCACAAAAAGCATCTTTTATTTTTTTCATGAAAGAAGAATCAGTAGATCGATCTTCAAGACTGGTAATTAAAGTTGTAACAATAGGTAAAACAATCGATAACGTTGGTGATGAATCAGATGTAAGTATTCGTGTAGCTGCTTCAAAAGGTTCTAATATAACCTGAAATTCAACCAAAAATTTAACGCAGCTTACGTTTCATTAGTAAAGCATTTAACCATTAATTGTTCCAATACATCCCAGTCTATCACCTTCGACACTTTATCAATGGTAAACTGTTTTTGAAACAATTTTTCATTTAGACATGCTGTTACACAAATCTTTTCTTCAATAAACCTTTGGAGCATATAGAAGGTACTATTCCATCGAGTAATCACATCGAAAATCAATTGACGTTCAATAAAACCTGCAAAGATTCAATTTCGTAACAGCTAAAAATGAAATAAAACTTCGGATTTTTTTACCAAATGATCGTTGATATTTATTTAACATCTCATTTGCTAAATGACTATCTCTTGTATACGCAACAATGTATCGAATTGTAGAAAGAATATTTCTTATTTCATCTTGTTTTCGAATGATATCATTAACAGATAAATTGACAAGATAATCAGTACATTCAATTCATCCTAGATATAAATTAATAACTATTACAAATGTCAAATTATAAGTAGCATCAAACCTTTTCCAAATTCAACTCCTACTTTTCTCATAGTGGGACAAGTATCAGATACTAAACAAATAATTTTATCATTAATTGACCATTTATCACAAATACTTTCTAAACGTTCTACAATACGTTCAGCTGTATGATTTCCCTTAAATTCTTTTGTTTCTAATACAAAATTTTTATCTTTTTATTTTTTAAATCAATAAAATGTGCTGTAATTGTCATATAAGCTTGATTAGCTTGAGAAGTCCAAATATCAGTTGTTAAACAAATACATAAAACAGTAGAAATAGACAATTTCTAAATCATCTGAGGTATAGAATTTGTTACCAGGTGCTTGTTGTAATTCTTCATAAACTTTCTGTCGAACTTCATTACACATTTCTTGTAAAACATTATTAGTAAAATATTTTCGTCCAGGAATTATATATGATGGTTCAATTTCTGCAAGAATTGCTTGTAAATGAGGACTTTCAACTATTGATAAAGAAAGAAAGTTGTAAATAATAAAATCAGCAATTAATTTAGTTAAATGAATAGATCGATCACTTGTTAATGGTAATCTTGTTGTTGAATCAGAAGTTTGAGTGTGTGATTTCATAACTTTATTCAAATGTTGATACTCGACATTGTGTTGTGTTTGTATGTGATGTAATAAATTGGACGTTGAGGTTGATTTACGAGTAATAACACTTGAACATAACACACATTCAATATTTAACACATCATCTTTCATATTCTTGAAATATCTCCATACTAAACTACGCTTAGCTTTAACAATTCTTCTTGTTGTTATTGATAAAGGTGATGTTGACGTAGAACATATTGAACTGGTTGATGGTGATGTTGGTGTTGAATTAATTATTGATGAAGATGAAGAATTAGTATTCATTAATGTTAGACGAGAGTTATTTACATCTGAATTTGACATAATGCAAAAAAATATTGTTTGTATATATGGGGTTGACCAGTCTGGCCGGATACCCCATTAATATTTTCTTTATTTTAAGGATAAAACATACTATTGTTCGGGCCATATGAGAGAGAATAATAGATAATCCTAGATTGGCCCGAACAACACCATGCTTTATCCTTATAATAGTAGAGAAAAGCCTCTAGCTCACACAAAAACCTGGTAACTTTTCTCTACTATTATAAGAATAAAGCATGGCGTTGTTCGGGCCAATCTATGATTATCTATTATTCTCTCTCATATGGCCCGAACAATAGTATGTTTTATCCTTAAAATAAAGAAAATATTAATGGGGTATCCGGCCAGACTGGTCAACCCCATATATAGATATATGTGTGTCTGGTATGCCGCGCCCCCCCTACAAGT